GACTTTACTCTCACTCACAGGCTGGACGCTTGTGTCACTTATATGGAACCAGGATCCTCTGGGTGGCTTTGCATCTCCTGAGGGGAAGTGATGAGTTAGAGTTGATACTTAAAGTATTACTACCATGTTATTATTTGTCACACCCAAGTACACCAACCTTCTGCTGCAAGTCCATTGGATGAGGGATTATCAGGTCGTACTTTCACATACCCTGTGTAATGACCTGATCTCATTGTTCCACTGTGTTCTACAATACCGTACAAACTGTACGAAATCTGAGCATCTCCTTCTGTCATGGCCTGTTTGGAAACAACTTACTGTTAGTGCTCAGACTATAATAAAATAATGATACATTTAACAAAAATTGTTAATCCAATATTTACCTTGCATTTTACCCCACAAAAGGGAGCTAAATCAAGTATCAGGGGGAATTGGACATGTCTGTTCACCTTACAAATACTGTATCCATTCTAGAGGAAAACAAAAAAAATCAAAACAAAACAATGTGTCATGTTCCTTAAACAGCTGGTTTGAAGGTGTGTCAATAAAAACAACTTGGCTGACAGTCAGTTGATCAAAGGTGTAAAAATGCTGACATTTTCTTTAACTCACCTGTTGAAATCTCTTCAAATGAAGGGTAAGCACTGGTGGGGGAGAGGAGATCAGCATTTGCTTCAAGGCGTCAGTGTAAATATTCTTCTTGGATCCTAAACAGAGCACAAATAAAGACGATGAACCTTATTGATCCCCAAATGGAACATCAGACAGAAGATCCAGTTTAACTGACTTCTTGGTTGTTGTTGTTTTTAGAATCACTGGACTTGTGATACTGTACTGCAAAAATCCACACACATGTACAGGGTGTACAATGTCAAGAACAAAAGCTATATCAACAATAGGTGAAATATGAGGGAGAGAAATTTCACATACCTCCAGCTTTGTCTTTGTGTGACTGCCGTTTAGTGCAGGTGACACACAGCAGGCTATTGTTCTGGGTGAGGGTTTCTACTTCTGTGAACTGAAAAAGGCATGACTGTACTGAACACTCCTGTTTCTCAGGGGCCGTCCTGGCAGCCAGTGTGTGAAAGGCCAGTTCTGGGTCCTGATTTACTACAGTGTACTCTTTAGCCTCTAGTGGCTCATCTTCACTCTCCATGCCTTGTTCAGCATCATAGTCTTCTATGAAGGCGTCATCCAGGGTTACTTTCTCCATTTCACTCACCAGCTGTGTATCCTCTTTTCTTCCTGATCCATGTCAGACATTTTGGCATCATCTAAGATGCTGTCCTTTGAGTTCTGCTCCTCTGATAAGACATTAAAACGGTTGCTGACTGATGACGTAGCTGATGAGTCACAGTCAATCACTGACTCTTCGTCCTCTTCCTTCTCATCCTGGACTGTATCAGGGTCCCTCTGGTCCTGTTCAGACACACTGATTTGTGCAGGATTTCCTTCACTCAGTGAGGCTTCTTCATGTGTTTCATTGTCAGCATTTCCCCCATCTGGTTCCCCATCTGCAGTAGGATCTGTCTGTTCGCTCTCCGTGTGGCTCGGCGATGTAAGACTGTCCAAAGTGACTCTGCCCTCAAGCTTTTGCTGCCTCTTTTGATGCTGTAGCAGAAACATGGAAACAATACAGACTATTTAGTTTATTCTACACAATGATTACACACTCATCCATTAACTTCAACAAAAGACAAAACTTCCTTTATGTACAGTCAGTGAGGTACCTTTGCTTGCTTCTTTGCCTGCTTCTTGGCTTTCTTCTGTTGGTACTTGCTGCTGGCCCCACTGGGAATGTCATCATTTCCATTGGTCAAAGCAGGACTGTTTCTGCTTTCCTGGCTTGACTCACGGGTGTTCTGAACTCCTTTTTTTTGGTTTTTCTTTCTGTATGTCTGTAAGATGTCGCCACAAAAAGGCACATGTGTGAAACCCAAACAAAACTCGAACAAATAATTGCCCAAAAAAACACTCATAAAAGGCTTTACCTCATCTGAAACAGGAAGGGAAAGATCCAAAAACATCTCTGTGACTACAGACACCTGTAAGTGCAAAGTTATAGCCATTTAGTGTGACACCAGCATAATAGGTAAAATCTTAAACTTATCCAACGAAGGTTAAAAATCAAGGGCAACTGGACTTGGTTGAAGATCTTCCACAACACATACCGTTTTGCACTGCTGACACATTATAGTGCTGGTCATTTCCCCACCAAAAACTTGGTCGACAAAGTTTTTTGGAAACCCATTTTTCTCGTACTCTGAAATCAGAACTTCATTGTTACAGGACCCCATTTGACTATTTGGTGTGCCAAGACAGTATTGTACAGTAGAATGCAACTTTTTTTGCTTATGTGACACTGACCACAAGGTGTTTAACTTAAAGCCTAGTTACTTACCTTTAACTAGTGTCTTCAACTGCTCTTCATCTGTGCCTTTTCTGGATTCTTGCAATGCCTTCATGATTCCAGAGCTTACTCTCTGTAGAGACAAACACAATCGTCAAATGTATATGACTAAAATAACCATTTGATAAGCCAGAGAGGAGGAGATTTTGCAGCTTAGTTCTACTGAGCTTGAAATAACAAAAGCTTAATAAGTGCTTATAGTGCAATCCATACCAGCTGTCTTACAAGCAGTACTGTTCTGCTGTCAATGTAATATACTGCCACATAACACATAGCCACTTGGATATACAGTGTCTGTTTCAAGTGTAAATCTTTCACCAATGCGATATATAGGGCAATTTCTTAAAAACTAAATGCATACTTTGATCTCCTCAGCCCGCATACCGTCCAGAAGGTAGCGCAGCAGCTCCTGGCTATCTTGCTGCTGAAATCCTTTGAACCTGGCAGCCCTGCAGAAAGGAGACAGAAAGTTTTAATGTAATGATGCTAGGAAGTACATTTTAAGCACATCTTAAGGCTGAGTTCCACCTCAACTTGCACTCACTTTTGACACACTTGTGTGAACAACTCCCGAGGTGTTACCACACCCTTTTTGGATTCCTGGATCTCATTGAGAAGTTGACACATAGCCAAAGTCAGGGATCCAGGCTGGTCTAACTGCACCACAATAGGCTCCTGTAATCATTACAAAAGCAAGTCTTTAAATAATAAACTGTGTATATATTAGGCATCTAGATCTACCATCTTTATGGTTAAAAAAACAAATAATGGAAACACACCAGATCCAAGGAGGCGACAGGTTTAATGTTAAGACTCATTTTCTCTTCTGTCACTTTGTTGAGAGACTGTCTTAAGAGCGGTGTTTGAGAAAGACTCTGGAAAAGACAATGATAGCGATTAGTAATAGCTCCTAAATTTACAAAGACACTCATTTTAAATCAAGGGTGGCATCTTATAAAGCACAATCTTACCTGAATAACTGCATTAAAGAAACACGTGTTTCCCAGGTTGCTCAGCCCCTTTACTGAAACACCACCATTGTCTTCAGATGTGCCAGACTTCTGTGATTTTACACTCTCTTTTTTGACATTTTTCTTTTGGTCCTCGTTTTCCTTGTCCTCACTTTTCTCTGTTTTTACAGTCTCTGTCATCTGCCCAACTTCTAAACTGTCTTCCTCCTTTACTCCTAAATAACCAAACACAGCATGGTGGACATGGTTATAGAGACATGTAATTCCAATAATGAAATCTGTTTTTATTTTATTTTAAAAACATTACAGTGATGCTCAAATTTTCCAAATGGACCCACTTTTTTCTGGTCTCTTTATAGGATCTGCAGAGGTTTGCTTTTTTAGGTTGGTCATCAGCTGAGCCAAATGTCCAGTCCTAGAGTACTGGACTTCGTCATCACATATGTAACACCTGCAAGTTTGGCAACACATCAAAACAGAACAAGTACTTTTACATTTCAAACACAAGTTTGACATCTGTGACTAACACAGCACAGCAACATACTCACCACACACTCCAGTTGTCCAAACTGACCACCAGGCAATGTGGATCTGACCGAGGAGTCTGATAATGTTTGATGGCATGCTGGTTCTCAGAGTTTCGTCCACATCCCTGGCAGAAAAGATGCATCTGGTCATTTAGCAAAAGTCCCTTCATACACTGTCAAAATTTGAATGATAAATGGGTTGAATAAACTCACTCTATGGCCGCATTTCAAGCACATCCAAACGGCTGCTGTTTCTTGTTCCTCTTCAGTGTCCTGTGGCAGGGTGGTGCTGATATTTTCTTTATGCTCTTCATGCTTACAATCCTGGCAACTTGTCCAATCAGAATTACCGGAGAGTTTCTTTAAAAGAGTTTGGTCCGTTCCCTTCTTAATATGTCTGCAGGAAGGACCTACGAAGATAAAAAGAAAACAATGTGGGAAAGTCATCCTAGGCCTTCCACAGGTTGCCATATGACAATGGAGATGATAATATTAAAATATTATTTACCTGTCAGGTCAATGTCATCATCCTCTCTGGAGCTCCTGTCCTTCCCCCTTTTCTTTCCCATTGTCACCTAACGTTAAGCACAATTAGACATGAATCGAAATAATAAACAGCAGTCACCTAAACTAACGCCAGCTTTGGCTAATAGCTAACGTTATATAACATCAATTATAATGCTGCTTTACACAAATTAGTGTATGTATGTGACGTGTAACTCCATGTCTCAGGGTCCAGTCAACTTACTGTCACAAAAGGAGCCTAAAAGCTTCACCGTTTTCAGTTTCGGTTACTTTGTGTGGATGGATTCTCAAATCCGGACATAGTCAACTTGGTTTGCTGATTACAGACGTAAAATGTAAGCCCTCGGATAAGAAAATGTGTCTACAAAGTTTCACATTCGGTAAAAAAAAAAAAAATTCACTCCGCTGATTTGGCAGAAAAATCCCGGCTGACACATGCAGACGGATGAACAGATGAACAAAATGTGCAACGCCTTCTGCTGCTCGGTATGTGTGTTTCCTGTGTGCGTCGCTTCTAACAGTCCGAGTTGAAACAAAGCTCGATCACTAGGCGTGTTGCCATTACTGAAGTTGTTCGGGTGTTTAACTGTGGTGTTCCGCTCCTTCTACATATATAGCTAATTTAAATGTATTTTATTAATGTTACTCCCTTGACAAGACTTACCTAGTAGTCGCTAGTACAGAAGCAACATTATTTGCTAGCCGGGCTGTAACGTTAATGACAGGTTACGTAACGTTAAATTAAAAGTAATAATAACGTTATCTTTAAATGCGGAGACAGAAATCTTTTCAACAGTGATCGTTTATGTGTAACACAAGTGAAGATCGACGCTCTAGTTTGCCTTCATCAGCATGTCTTACTTAGAGCGGGCTGAGTCTCAGCTCGCAGAGGTGGAGCTGCTCACCAGCATGTTTCCCACACAGGAGGAGCTGGAGATCACAGATCAGCTGGCACTAGCTGAGCTCAGGGACTATGTGGAGGGCTCAGATTCAACAGACAGCCCACCTCCTTCCAGACCTCAGTTTCTCATCAAACAGAAACTGGACACTGGGAGCACTGAGAGGGTAACAGAATAACCGACTGTCCCTGTGATTTAAATGTGTCTTAAAACGTATTTAACGCCATTGTCCTTTCTTATTTTGTTGCTCAACTCAGACGGACGTCATTCTATCATGTGCTTATCCACCCGAATATCCCAGTGTGTTACCAGAGATAACAATCAGGTAAGCCACTATCCACTTCTGATGTGTGGTGAAGGTGATGAACTCTTCTCATATATGCAAGACGAGAACAACTAACTAATTAGCTTAGTTTATAATACGTATAAAATCTTGCAAAACAGCAACACAATATGTTCATAATCTAATGTTATATGCAATGCTATAAAGCCCATAGAAATTGTAGAGACCCATCGGTGGTGTGTGTGTTTGGGCTTTACCAAAAGAAGTTTTCCATTCAGAGGTCATGTGTGATAAGGAGCTGTTATAAAATGTCTTACCAGTTCTTGCAATTGGACATCTTACGATACTGTAACATTTTCATAAATCTTCCATGTCAAACAGACATTAATAACTCAAACACACATATTTAATTTCTGTCGGAAAAAAGTAAAAAAAGTCATTCTGTAAACCCTGCGCCTGTAAACAGCAGCCTGAAGTGCAAAAAGACAGAAAACAAGCCAAGGACAACCATGCCATTGGTTTGGTCTAATGTGAAAATGAAATGAATGAACATGACATAGAGACTATAACAGATAATAACAGACTAATGACACAGATGAAAATGGGTTATGTGACTGTGGCAGAAAGTAGGCTAAGTAGTTGGTTTTTTTTATTGTTATGGCCCTATTTAAGTTAAGAAGTATGCATGGTTG